TGTTTTGTTCTCCTCTCAAACCGATGTGGGATCTCATAATCCACCCCGCTTGGGGGCCCAACGTCCTCGTTGACACACCGTTTGCTGTCTAGCTTTGATACCATTTGTAACAACTCCAACCCACCCCTAGCAGATGTTGTCCTCTTTAGGCTTTCCCTTTCGGACGTCCCCTCAAAGTTTTTAAATGCATCTGCTGAGGAGAGGTTTCTACACCCTTATAAGAAATATTTTGTTCTCCTCTCCAACCATGTGGGATCTCACACAAAGAGTCATAACCATTTATGTCGGATGACCTATCAATGACAGAATAGCCCAATGAAAATACCTTCAAAGCTTTTACACTTTTACTCTTGGGAACAGTCGCAGTGGCTTGTGTCTTAGTTTTGGAAGAACTAATATGTTCGGTCTCTGCCACTGGTTCTAAAATCTCATTCAGAGCAGGAGTTTTTTGACCACTGTCGTCGACAATCTCACCCTCATTTGTCAAAACCACAGCTGAATTATCCACTTGTGGCATCTCAATAACTCCATTTTCAGATTCCATCACCTGATAAGTGAAAAGATCCTTAGCAACATCAATTGAGAAGATGTTATAAGAACCCAAGTGCAGATAAAAGAAATCTAAGATGAACTCCAATCGAAATTGGCTTAAAGATAAGAACAAAGGTGGAAAAAGAAAGCTATATTCCGTGATGCCAATAGGACAACGTGACAAATAAAGTATTGAAACGCTTGGACTACCAGAAGAACACCAAAAAGGCAAGCTATAAGTTTAACATGAATGAGGCTTGCAGCATATATGAAAGATTACAGATCCCTTAACAAGACAATTTGAAAAGGTTGAATGAACACCTGATGAATACGAGATGAGTGAATGCCCCTTTGATTTTTACAAAACCTTTGGAGAAATTACCCCAAAAACATATGGTTCTAACTTGAAAAGGGCATTCCCATCATATCAAGCTCTATGGTGACGACAGTACATTCCAAAAACTGACAGCCCAAAAAGCTTTACATTACTATATCCGACATGATTCAAAAGCCTCAAAACTATACAAAGAAAACAATTAGCCTCCATGTGCAAATATTTACTCTCGGATACACTTGTCTCTCCTCATCTATGATTCTGACATCTTTTATCACAACCAAACAGAGGAGTCACAAAACAATTATTCTATGCGGACTTTCATCAAACAGGTGGAGGGCATTGAAGACGAAAGCAGAAATGAGAACGAAAACAAGAAACCCACATCAAGAAACACAAAACTCATCAATTCATTCACCAAATTAACACAAACAGAACCAGAAAATCAACAGAAAATTTCCAGAAATAACAAAAACCCAAAACCCAATTGATTGAAGGAAGAAACACAAAAACTTACAAAATCAATAAGAACCCGTCCCAATACGAATTGGGTATGGGGATTTTGGGATTCTCTTGAATTTAAACAGAAGAAGCAAAGAACAGAGACTCAAATCCCAATAAGGATCAGAGAATTCAAAGACAAAATTATGGAAAAGATTGAATGGAAATTCAGGATGGGAGACTGAAAGAGAGCCAGAGTAGAAAAGCAGATCGAAAGCGGTTTAGATTAGAAAGCACTTGAATGGTTGTAGTGATTGAGAGAATTCACCATGAAAGCTACAGAAGGTTGGTGACAATGGTGTGTATGATGAGAGATAAAGACAGAGTGCAGAGAAAGTTGGTACAGGAAACTACAAAGGATTATTTATTTAATTTTTTTTCTCCATGAAAATGGATAGAAAAAAATGGGGAAATTCTAAAATGACCAAAAAGCCATTTTGTTCTTCAAAACCTTTGAACAGTGGGAGAGATGCCAAGTGGTTTGGGAGATGCTTTCAAGAATGTTGTCAATCACAACAATTTAAACTTTGCATTTTAGTCCCTAACTTTTAGGATAATTCTATTTTAATTTCTAACTACATTTTTTTTGCATTTTAGTCCTTAACTTCTAGGATAATTCTCCTTTAATTTCTAACTATTTCTTATTTTTTGCATTTTAATCCCTCACTTTTAGGGTAATTCTACTTTCATTTCTAACCATTTCTTATTTTTTGCATTTTAGTCCCTAATTTTTAGGATAATTCTACTTTAATTTCCAACTATTTTTATTTATTTATTTATTTATTTATGAATGCTGTGAATATATTTGAAAATGTCTTAAACTAGATTATTAATTTGATAGGATAAAAGGAATATATATATATATATATATATATATATATATATATATATATATAGTCACTTCGAAAGATTCAATCTTATCAACACGAGAGGAGTTTCTTCTAAGAGAGCAGAAGAAAATCAAAGCTGCAACAAAAAAGATGGTTTCCTATGCATTTCATTCTTTATGGAAGAGAACAAAAAAGAAGTATCCCGCTCATACTCAGATAACGTTGCTGCCAACGGGCAGCCCACGACTTCCTTGAGTCTTCTGATGAAAAATCCATGACGTTAAAGATAAAACCCAAATAACTCGAACTTGTTACAGAAGAAAGATTGATCAAAACCAATAAAGTAAAACGGTTTTTTTTTTTTTTTTTTGGCTAGTGTGACGGAAAAGAAGAAAAAACATTTTCGGCTCAAGAATTTCCCCCACACTGAGAGTTTTTCTCCCTCCCTGAGTAGATGACCAAGGAAGAAAGGCTCCACGTTTTCCAAGTGGTTGATCTTAGCCGTCAAGAAGCTCATTAATTAAGATCGAACAACTTAAATTAAATTAAATGAAATTAATTATTTTCATCATGTTTGTATTTATTTTATTAGAAAAATATTTAAAAATCTACCTATTTAATTTTTTCGTTTTTTATTTTTTAAAATCATACTTATTATCGATAAAATCAAAATTAAAATAATTTGATAATTATAATTTTTTAAAATTGTATATTTGTTTTCCAAACGTTTTTATTCAGTAAAATTCCAAAAAATAAAATGATTTTTTAAAATCAATTAATTTTATTTTTTAAAATTTATTTAAATTCAAAAATAAAAATAAAGAAATGAATCGATTAGTCATATCATTAGACAAAGATTACATTTATATTTGACTTTTTAAGAATTGGAGAAGGATGTGTTACATCTACATTTGTTTAAGCTCCTTGAAATTAGCATAATTATTTATTAATAGCCTTCATTTTCTTTTGCTTACCCCATTAATTAAAGTTTGATTTATATATTTATTATTTTAACCATCAAAAATCAAAGTTTGATGATGACAATACCCAATTACGACGATGGATTGATTTGATTGCTACTAATCCTCTCGAAAAAAGGGATTGTTTGGGAACGTGTTGTCGGTTCATGTTGTAAAACTCCTACAATGTCCCAGAATCAAGAAATCGAATAGGGTAAACTTAAAATGCTTTACCCACATCTGAGGAAGAAGTAGAGAGACCATTGACTTATTGAGTGTGAGATCTCACATCAGTTAAAAAGATGAACGAAACATTTCTTACAAGGGTGTGGAAAACCTCTCTTCAGTAGACGCGTTTTAAAACCGTAAAGTTGACAGCGATATATAACGAGTCAAAGCAGATAATATCTACCTAGCGGAAAGCTTGATATGGTTAAATTTTTATGAACTAGGGGCAAAGTAGTTTACCAAAAGAGAAAGGAGGGCAAAAGAGTAATTTAATAAATCAGCCAATGATTGAAGCCAACAAGAGAAGAAAAAAACTATTTGAGAACATGGGGAAAGAGACTGTATGTTGGGGAGTCACAGCAGGGACCCACATGAGGTGGCTGACGTGGCAGGATCGAGCAACGTGATTGGTCTCCACGTTAGGAGATGGAGGTGGCGCCCAATCACTTAGTCCAACTGAGCATGAGCTGTCACAACGTGCGGGGAAGATTGAAGGAATGGAATCGTAGATTTGAGCGAGAGAATCGTAGCCGTCCATTTTGTGGGCCCAAACGTATTCTCCCGGTTTTTTCTCTCAAATATGGGATTTTGTGGGTGGTGCGGTGCATTCAAACCCCGTTCCCTGGACTTTTCCATTTTTATGCCCTTTTTATATTAAAAAATATTTATTTATTTAATTAATTTTTTTGAAATTTTTTAATCGGATCGGTTAGATATAAAATTGAAAGTTAAGAGATGCCGGAGCCCCAAGCCCTCCTAGACCCTATGCACATCCACTCATAGCGCCATCGTGCTAGCATGAGTGCTTACCCTTGATCTTCTCGACTTTTGGACTTTGAACCCTAATATTCCTATATTTTTTTTTTTTGTCTATATTTTCACATAAATCCATGTGAAATAACTTTGTGAAGCTTTTGCATTTTTGTGTAGGAAAACGGCAAGTACATGAACCTCGTAGAGAATCATTCCCTTAATAATTTTGATGGGACATTATATTATTTAATCATTATAAAAATTTAATTTTAATATATTTTTTTTGTCGTAGAAACTAAATTGTTACATATTACCTGAAGTTTAAGGACTAAATTGTTATAATTTAAAAGTATAGAGGCTTAAATTGATACAAAATGAAATTTAAGGATTAAATTGTTAATAATTTCTTGAAAGTGCAAGGACTAAAAGTGTAACTGTCCAAGTTCACTGTTACCCGATATTGTCCTATTTGAGTTTTCACTAGTTTTCCTCTTCGGGTTTCTCTCAAAATTTTTGAAATTTTTACTTATTTATAAAGAAGGTGAGATTTAACAATCCACCCCCTTCTACTTGCTTATAAAGAACGTAAGATCTAACAATCCACCATCTTCTACTTCCTTATAAAGAATGTGAGATCTAACAATCCACCCCCTTCAGGGACTAGCATTCTTACTGACACTCGTTCCTCTCTCCAATCGATGTGAGATCTCATAAAAAATGTGCTTAAACTCGACTATTAAATTCTATTATAAGAGAAATGACATTGTAAAGGGAACTTCTTACGAACACTTATAATGAAGCTATACATATATATACACACATATAGATATATGTTTTGGCTGACATAAATAATGAGTCAAGCTCTAAAAGAAGCAGATAATTTACATTTTACTTATCAAAACCAAGCAATAGTTAAACCTTGTACAGATTTTATACAGTCACAAGAAAGAATTTGTGAGAGAGAGAGGGAAAATTTCTCCTGATTTGCTAACAAACAGGAAGTGCCTCCCTAAAACCAATGCTAAAGTTAGTACTCTGTTGACCCTTCTTCCCCAAATCACCATTTCCCTTCTGCATCATCGCCACGAACTCGTTGTAATCGATACGACCGTCCTGAATAACGAGTTATAGTGATCGTTTAGATGAACACAATGTTTCTAGTTGTAGTAGTTGTAAGAGTGAAAAGTATGTCAAGAAAAGAAATGAAGTAGATGCTTACATTGTCCTGATCGACTTCTCCGATCATCTCTTCCAAGTGAATGCTTTCGATGCCGAAATCTTCGCAGGCTTTTTGAAGTTCGTCTTGCGTGATATAACCACTCCCGTCCTTGTCGAAGTATTGGAAAGCTGCAAAGAGATGATCTTCTCTCTCAGCTTTGTTCAAATGAAGTGTTGCTGCTATGAACTCTCCATAGTCAATGCAGCCATTGTTGTCAAAATCAGCCTGCGTTTCGAAATAAGTAGCATTTCATTAGAGAGATACGTACGAGCTAATCGAGTCGAACGAACACATTTGAATTGTTTTTAGAACTTACAGCTTGCATAAGATCTTTTATCTCAGTCTCATTCAGATTTGCTCCAAATCTGTTGAGTCCATCCTTGAGCTCTTCGGCCGTAATTTGGCCACTGTTGTCGGTATCGATCATCTTAAACATTTCCTTCAACCCGGCGATCTCTTCTTCAGAGAGGCTCTCAGCAATGACCTGAAAGAAGGAGAAGCACAAAAACAGGTTCAAGTAAGACAAATTCCATTTTCAGTTTAGGTTGAGAAAACAAAAGACTTACTCTCAAAGCCATTTTCTTGAGCTTGTTCATTGCAGAAAACTGTTTCAAACGACTCAAGACTGCAGAATCAAGAGGTTTATCTGGAGCCACTCCATCAACCTGAAGCCAGGGATGGCCTGGAAAACCGAAACCGACACCGTTAATGCTCGGACCAAATGTACTATCAGAATTAACTGTGTGCTGTTTGAGAATGATGTTATAAGAATTGTTCTCAAGACCGAAAACATGTTTGGATAATGACTTTTTAAAGTCGATTTAGATTAGAGATTCTAATAATTATCCATTGACCAAGCTTGGATTCTCGAAGTGTTCTTCAAGAACAACAAAAACTCACAGCAGATAAAATTCCCAGCCTGCAAAATCTCCGATCAAACTAAAAGGCTGTGCATGAGAAATGATGTGAGATCCCATGTTGGTTGGAGAGGGGGACAAAGCATTCCTTATAAGAGTGTAGAAATCTCTCCCTAATAGACGCGTTTTAAAACCGTGAAACTAACGACAATACGTAACGGGTCAAAGCAGACAATATCTGCTAGTGGTGGGCTTGGGCTGTTACAACCGACACTTGGACTGAAAAACGAAAGGATACATCGATTATCGAACCTCGATCAGACCTATTTTATGTTTACATTCCTCATTAAAAGTGGTTTTTATCTAAAATTTTGCACTTAAACCGGGAAGAACTTCTTCCATATCTGTTTAAGGAGCTAAGAGAGGTCCTCCATGCCTGATCTCTTGCGCTTGATTTAAGCCTATTATGAAGTTTCATAACCTTCTACACTTAGAATATCAATATTAGAATTTTTATGAACCATCACAAAGTAGAAACTTACATAGAACTTCATGAGCAGAGAGCCGCTCTTTCGGGTTTCTAACGAGCATCCTCCTTACCAAATCTTTGGCGCTGTCAGAAATACTTGGCCAGGGATCTAACGTGAAGTCGAGATCTCCGTGCAAAACTTCGTCAAATATCTCTTGCTCGGTTTCTGTTTCGAAATCGTATGAAGGAAGAACGAAAACGTATATAGTGATCAGAACATAGATATGGAATTGGATTTGGCAAGTGATAACCATGATGCATACAATAATCAGGTGCAATTGCTAGATATCTGTGTTTTTACCTGCCCAAAATGGCGGCACCCCGCTTAAAAGTATGTAAAGCATCACACCGGCACTCCAAACATCAGCTTCTGGGCCATATAGTTTGCACAGAACGTCTGGTGCCACATAGTAAGGACTCCCAACCACATCCCTAAATATTTCCCCTGTAAAATCATCAGAGCACCAAATTAAACATGCTCCTGTTGTGAATTGGATCATAAGAAAACAGACAACCCGAAATCGATTCGTCCTAGTTTCTAGTATACCTGGCTTAAAGAAGACAGACAACCCGAAATCGATAGCTTTCAAAGGCGAGTCCTCGCGTCCATCGACAAAAAGAAAATTCTCGGGTTTGAGGTCACGGTGCATGACACCAAGAGAATGGCAAGCTTCTATTACCCCTACAATGGTTCTTGCAAGATCAGCTGCCTGTCTTTCAGTGTAATGCCCGAGCTTAACAATCCGATCGAAAAGCTCGCCGCCTTCGCACAGTTCCATGACGACATGTACAGACACAGCATCTTCATAAGCTCCTTTAATAGAAACAACGCTGGGAATACCAATTAAATGATGCATTATCTGAATCTCTCTCCTCACATCCTCGACGTCTTCTATCGTCGCCAACTTCCTTTTCGCTATCGATTTACAGGCATACTCTTTCCCAGTCGACTTCTCAACGCAAAGAAAAGTCGTCCCAAACTGGCCATGTCCAAGTTTCCTTCCCAAGCTGTAATACTCCCTTAGATGACCAGTTTTTGTTTGCAAAACTGACTCAACCTGCAAACCTGCACTCACTATTTTCTTTGTCTTCTTCTCCTTCATCAAATCTTCAGAAACATTATTACTACCATTACCATCTGATTCCTTTGGCTTTCCCGATTTAACCGGAGATTCGACGCGTAGCTTCTGTTCATCATAGCTTGATGGTTGTTCAGCTGGTTTGATCAATTCTTCCTCAGACAACAAAGGCTCTACAGGGTTGATGATGATCAATTCTTCCTTGGGGTTTAATTCTTCCGCTGCATTATCCTCCCATTCCAATGGTTTGACCCTATCATCAACAATCTTCACTGGTTCAGGGGGAGTATTTTGAACTACTTGATTAGGGTTAGGGTTAGGGTTTTTAGCCCTCTTTTTTTTAGTATGAGAAGAAACCATACCCGCTCGAGACCACCAAATCGCTTGAGTAATCGAACACAAAATCCCATCCTTCCTCGACCCAATACATTTATTACCCATCTGAATAAGCCGATTCTACTCGAATATCCGTTCTAAAATCTCAGAAAACAAGCACCGTAAAGTCGCCCAAATCCGTCATCCATGGCGTTTCCCCCAAAATGGGGAACAGAAAAAGAAAATCAACAACACAATAATGCAGGCAAAACGAAAGATAATGCTGAAGAACACGATCATGAACACCCAACGTGAAGAACAAGAAAACAGAGCAGATACAAAATCCGTATAGGGCAATGAATCTTCGAATCGATAAACAACAAAAATCATAGAAAACTCCCACAGAAATTAACTCAATCCGCACGAAATTCAAAACCCGACCCACTGAAATATTAATCAAACAGAAATTTCAACGATTCCCTACAGAACATCAACGGCTTGATCAGGAAAAAGTAGGGGCGAACAAATTGAAGAAGAAGAATAAGGATAGAGAGAGAGAGAGAACCAAAAATCGTTGAAGAACGGGGAAATTTTTAAGCGCAAATTTAGGGGTTTGATTTCGTGGGAATTTTCCCTATATATCTTCACTTGGCGAATCCAAATGAAAAACAGGATAACAATTGAAACGAAAGCGAAGCAGGGATAGAAGAGAGATAAAGAATTTACCGGTTTTTCTGTTATGATTTGAGTTTCTTTAAAAACATTTTTTTTAAATATTGAAAATTAAAAAAAAAAAAAAAACGCGTTAAAAATATATTGCAATTTGATTGGATAGCATCTTTCTGCCGTTGGATTCTAAGTGGACGGCTACGATCTATTTTTCAAAATTCTAAATTAAGAAAAAAGGAAAATTATATTTGATATTTTGATTCATATAATAATACAATTTTTAATTTTGATTTAAAATAAAAAAAAATAACAATTTATAAAATCTATTGAGTGAAATTTGTATAATTTTATATTTATGGAAAAACATTGCAAGAAATTATTATCCAAATTAACAAAATATTGAATGCAAATTTCTACGCCACCCAATCAAATAAAAATTAATATATGATAATATCATACATATTGAAAAATAAATTTTAATAATAAAGGTGTTTAAATGACTCGAGAATCTGATCAATTCGGATTACCCGATCCAAATCATAAAGGTTAGGTTGGTTTTTTTTTTTTTTTTTTTTTTTTTTTTTTTTTTTTTTTTT